GATGAGAGAAAGAATTGATCTGGAGATCCAGCGAGTATTTTTATTTAGGAAAATTGATATTTAAATTAATAAGTTAGCTTTACAAGACTTGTTTATCTTCTGTTTGGTTTAATTTTTCGTCAAACATGTTTTTATTTTCAGAAATTTATAAAAAAAACAATTATATGTTACAATTGTTTTCTGGGGTCAAATAGTCTGCTTGGTTCAATTTTTTTAGGACTGTTTTTTTTTTTTGAAAATTGAAAAAAAAAAAATTGTGCAAAAAGATTTTTTTTTTTTTTTTTTTTTAAAGTTTTTTTTAACTCTAAAAACATTTTTCTATTTCTTAATTGTTAAAAATTAACCAAATAAGCCCACATCTATCCTTTGATATATTTCAAGTGGATCATATTCATCATTTAAAACAAATTTAAGAAAGTACGAAGACTAATGTTATAGGTTAAATTATGGGTTAGAGAATATTTTGTGTTACATGCTAACTTTTTATGGCATCAAATATTCATTATCATAAAATCTTATGTACGAATTAATATTAAATATGTATAAAAATTGGTGCATGTACTATTATTATTATTTTTTTGGGCGCAACAAAAGATGTACCAATGGTTTACTAAACACTTACTATGTTTTAACTTTTAAGTAATATATTTAATATTGTAGTTAGATGAAATACCCACATGCCTTCAATTCAGTCCTATATCTTGAGAGATTATTACATAATTTTGAGTGGTGTGATTTCAGCTAATCAAAAGATGTCATGCAATTTAAAATAACAATTAAAATTTAATTTTGTAGCAATTTGTAATTGACCGAGAATATATTTTTCGTATCATATAATCATTTTTTAGTATATTTTAATTTAAATTATATAAAATGAAAGTGAAATTTAATGAGAGTGAGAGTGAGAGTGAATTCGAAAATAATACGAAAACATAAAAATCACAAAATCAAGGAGGGAGAGTGAATCCCAAAACAACACGAAAACATAAAAATCACAAAATCAAGGAGGGAGAGTGAATCCCAAAACAACACGAAAACATAAAAATCACAAAATCAAGGAGGGAGTCTCAGCAACCCTGGGGGCTTAATTGGCAAGCTTTCCTCAGTCCTCACTGTTGAAAGCGCGTGGTGGCTTGATAAATTATAAACTAAGACGATGATGTCTCAATGGCTTTGACTTTTTAGTCACCCCAAAGTTAGCCCAAAATGTTGGAGGGCACATATTGCACCTAAAACTCCTAACTACACAGTAAAAAATCCTACTCTGATTCTCCTTTTAAATCTATTAAATTCCCAAACATCTCCCCCGCTTTCCTTGCATAAAGTCAAAAGCGGTGTGTGATTAATTTAATATCGCATCATCCTTACTAAAAAACATACATACATATATATATATATATATCCTAAAATATATATTCCTAATTATTTAGGATAAATTCCTTTTTTATTGGTTTCTTACTTTCAGCTACATAACTTACTTTACCACGAAAAAAGAAAACAAAACTTTACCACCCGACTCTGCTTGTATGATACCTATCACTATCAACATAGAGAATCTAGAGAGAGAGAATCTAGAGAGAGAGAGAAGCCATTTGGCAGTGGAACATTAAAAAGAAGGTCCCAGGTGCAGTTGAATGAAGATTTAGGTATCACCTTCAGTTCAGAGTTATAGGCTGGAGGGCATGTGGAGGGCGGCAAGGGGCAGGTACGTAGATGAACAGATTAGGCTACCCCTAGGTTCAACCCCGTAACTTATCCCCATTAACCACTGTCAGTTTATGACAGTCTTCTTTAATTTTTATTGATTAAGGTCGTTATCTCTGTACAGCGGCTGTAATTACCTAGCATTAAATTAATTGGGCATACCGAGTTATTGATGATGTTCACCCAAAAAAATTTCCCGTGTGAGTTTGCTGAAAATGGATTCTAGGTGTATGCAACTTGAGATAATTGAATACCTAACAGTGATATACATAGTTAAATACATATAATATAACATAGTAACATACATATATATGGTATATCTCATTACTATATATAGCAATAACATATATATAAATAGCAACTTTTCCTTAATTTGATCGCAACCTAACCAATAACTTCTCATTGCTACTATTTTGAAAACAGTAAACATGAGAATGAAAATAACACACACCAAACACAGACACATTTTACTACCATGATTCTTCTTGCCATTTACTACATATGTACAATTCTGTATGAAACAAACATTCACACGAGTAGGTGGGAGTAGTCATAATGTTCGTACTACTCATACCACTCAAAGGATGGTCCAGAGTTTTAACATTGATAATATAACATGTATACTATATATGTACAACTTGTCAACTACACCTATAGTAATGCCCAACCTGTCACTCATTTGCTTCGACAAGTGAGAGACTTCAAAATATTCCAATTATCCAAATTTATAGTTACATGAGAAGCACATCACTATCCTACCAATCTAAGCCCCGACTTAGGTCATTCTAGTTGCAGTCCAGTTACAATATAAAGGAATCAATTCAATATGGGTGGGATAGTCATGTTGGTATTAGGTATCATTAATTTTGTTATACACTAAATCATGCCCTCGTTACTCGGGTAGCTAATTAGGTTAATTATCATTAGAGCAATTGACTAAATTTATGTGAGGAAGGAAAACGACATCACCCACTCACATGAAACAGTCAAATGTATTGAACTACTTATGATTTATTATCCTTATCTTAAACTAAGAAATATATATATATATATATATATATATATATATATATATATATATATATTATCCTTATCTTAATCCTATATAAGTAGGGTTGGCTGGTAATTAGGTTAATCGAGAAGCACAAAACATGTATACTTTTTATTAAAAAAAGAAAAAAAAAAAAAAAAACAAAAGAAATGCATCACATAATAAATGTTAGGAATATTAATTTGACCAGAAAAATCAAATGCACAAATGAAAAAAAAGAGGTACCTACAAACATCAACATTTATGTATGTGTTATTCTATTTGAAAGAAAAAAAAAATTAGATGGAAGGGAGAGAATAAAGAATGGATGATTAGGGAAGAGATTGTGGATTTTATTCTTTTTATTAATAAGTTTATAATTTACTATATTAGTTAAGAAAACGAAAGATAAAGTTTTAATTGTTTTTATCATTATATCCAATAATATTTATAATATTGTAATTTATAGAGGATAGTACTGTAATTTAAAACTTGTATAAATTAGGATAGTATTTAATTTAAAATTTTCATTAGAAAAAAATTGGATGGATAAGACATTCCTAGGGGAGAAATTGTGTATTTCTTTCTTTTTGTTTGATTTAATAGAAAATAAGAGAATAAACTCATAATTTACTATATTCGTCAAAAGAGAATGAAATAAAAAGTTTTAATTATTTTTATCATTATATCCAATAAAATTTATTATATTGTAATTTATAGATAGTACTGTAATTTAAAACTTGTATAATTTAAAATTTTTATAATAGTATACTTGTCTTCTCTCATTTCTTTCGAAAGTTTGTAGAGGTGGAAGGATGAGTCCTTCCTATTTTATTTTTTTTCCTTATATCATCTTTATAGACAAAGAAAATTCATTTCTTCCTTCTTATTTTCTTTCCGGACATCTTCCTTCCTTCTTATTAAACATAGCAATAATTCAATTTTTACTATTAGTAAAATATATACTTTTAAACGAAAGAACAAGCTACGAGTATATAATAGAAAATGAGCATTTATTTATTTTTGTCTATTCCATAAACAACCCATTACGTATAATTTTTTCCTTTTCCATTTTGGAATAAAAGAATTCCATCAATCAAAGAGGAAAATTACATTTGCCAAACTTATCACTAATGACTCTTCTTTGACTTGAAAACGAATTGATTGAACAATATACTCTTGTATTTTGTAACTTATATTTATTAGCCTTAGCACTAAACATCCTAGATGGCTATCATTTACTATTTATTAATACTTACATTAATTAAGACGTTGCATTAGACAGTAAATCAATTGAAATAGAAATCTGATTTTTTCTTTTTTTTGATAAGTGAAATAGAAATCTGATTTTCATTATACACTTGCATATCCCAATCTTCATAATTTGAATTCTCATTTTAAATACCATTTCAGTATTTTTTCACCAAGTTAAAATAATTAGATTCATAAGCTTTGTTGTCATAAAAAATAAATATATATCTTGCGAAAATATATAATAAAATAAGGACAATACTTATCTACTCACTAGTGATTAGGGTGAAGCTACTCACCCCTATGTGGTCCAATAACAAAATAACACATCACCTTTAATAATGAAATAATTCATACATTTTCTGCTTTATCGGATCAACCCTGGAATAAATATTTTTTAGGTGTGGATTATTTTATTTTTAAATGTGTGTGTATATATATATATATATATATATATATATATATATAATATAAACACCTTATCCCATCACATTTACTCTTTTATTACTATGGTAAAGTGCCCCAAAAATACCTGTTATATAAAAAATGTACAAAAATATATTTGTCAATTTTAGTATGTGCATATAAATCCCTAACATTTGAAAATATGTGCAAATTGTCTCTTGGTGGTGAATTTTGACTAATTTTTTAAAATTAAAATTCTAAAATATCCTTAATAATTAATGTTTTATGAAAATACTATTTTTTTTAATTTTATTTTGTCACATTTTAGATATTTTAACCTCTAAATTTACAAAATACCCTTATTGGCTCGATTTGAAAAATGTTTGAATTTTTTTTTATAACCTATAATATTTGTACATTCGATGTATAAAAGGGAGGTGTTTTTGCACTTTATTTTCTTATTATTCACTTTTTATTTATTTATTTATTTATTATTCCCTCTTGATATTCACACAATAACCAGTAACCACCAAATGGCGGTCTTTTATTATTATCTCAGTATTTATATAATGCATGTAATGGATAGACGGAGTATAATTTCCAACACAACCAGAAAATCCAAAGAAATTTATTTTCACGCGCACACACACACTACCAAACCTCAACTTCCCACAACACACCACACGACACCGTTCCCCTTCCGGTTGTCTCTTCCCACGACCTGCATAGGGCTTCGTTCCCCCTCTCTCCCTCTCTCTCTACTCTTCCTCTCTCTAAACCATCATCGGATCTGAGTTCCCCAAGTAAAAGCCCGCATAGTTGATCATCATATTGTCCGATCTCCCTCAATTCGCATCACTTCTCATCTTCTCCTCTCTCTAAAACCACTGGAAACACCATTAATAGATCAAACTGAAACTCTAATATATATACATACATATATATATATATATATATACACGCACTTTTATAGATAGAGGAACAACGACATTAGATAAGACTTTTGAAGGGGCATTTTCATTTCAGATGGGAATGCCCAAACGATGAGCAAAGCCGGCGACGAAGAAGACGAAGACGAGTGTTTTTACGAGTCTCTCGATCGCATTCTATCATCAACCTCTTCTTGTTCTTCTTCCTCGGCCGAGGACGACGACGAAAAAGATCCAAATTTTAATTCGGATTCGCCTAATTATGCACCCAGCCCTCCATTGCCAATCCCTAGATTTCCAATGGGCGTTTCCAATAACTATGATGTCTGGATCTCCGAACCCTCCTCCGTCGAAGAACGCCGAATGCGACTCCTCCGACAGATGGGCCTCAGTTGGGACCCTTCTCTCTCCCGCCAAAGACACTCTCTGTCATCCGGTGGTGCCGACGACGGCGGCATCGCCACGTGCCGCGGAGACTTTGGTAGATCGGTGTCGTCGGATCACTTGAACCGCAGTCAACAACGGGGTGAGGTTTCTTGCAATAATTCAAACCCTGGTATTGTCAGATCGAAATCGGATGGTGCCACGGATCATCACAGCAAGGACTCTCCACATAATCAGTGTAATTCTAATTCAACCATTTGTTCTCCTCAAATTCTTTCAATTGATTCTGTTTCACTTTCGGCTAATGAAACCACCGCCACCGGCCAATTTGTAAATAACCATAATATTGTTGTCGTTAAATCGCGAAGTGGCAATGGATCACCGATCACTAATGCTGCTTCGCCAAATAAGCCGCCTAAGGGGAAAAATTGTAGGCGGGTAGAAGAGAGTAGAAGTGATACCACGAGTCCGAACATGAATGTTAATAGTAATTCCTTGCCCGTTTTGGGGAATGCCAATGGTGGGGAATTTGATGATGATTCGGGTTGTAATGGGATTGTTAGGGTCAGTGATCCAGCAGTATGCACAATCAAGAATCTTGATAATGGAGAGGAGTTTGTGGTGAATGAGGTTAGAGAGGATGGTACGTGGAACAAGCTTAAGGAAGTGGGAACTGGAAGGCAGATGACCATGGAGGAGTTTGAGATGTCTGTTGGGCATTCACCAATTGTTCAAGAATTAATGAGGAGGCAGAGTGCAGAGGATGGTAACAAGGATAATGGAGATTCCAATTTGAATGGCAGCGGTGGGAGTGGATCGAAATTGAAGAAGAAAGGGAGTTGGTTGAAGAGCATAAGGATTGTAGCAAGTACTATGACAGGCAGTAAAGAGAGAAGAAGCAGTGATGAAAGGGATACCTCATCAGAGAAGGGCGGGCGGAGATCGAGCTCTGCGACAGATGATAGCCAAGACGTTTCGTTTCATGGACCAGAAAGAGTTCGGGTTAAGCAGTATGGCAAGTCGTGTAAAGACCTCACCGCACTTTACAAGAGCCAGGAAATTCAGGCTCACAATGGTTCTATTTGGACTATTAAGTTTAGTTTGGATGGTAAGTATCTTGCGAGTGCAGGTGAGGACTGTGTCATTCACGTGTGGCAAGTCATGGAATCAGAGAGGAAGTGTGATCTGTTCATCGATAAACTGGAAGATGGAAATTTGAACATTTTATTTTTGGCCAATGGATCACCAGAACCAACTTCATTGTCCCCAAATATGGACAGCCATTCAGAGAAGAAGAGAAGGGGAAGGTCATCCATAAGCCGGAAATCAGTGAGCTTGGACAATGTCGTAGTTCCAGAGACTTTGTTTGCACTTTCAGAAAAACCTATATGTTCTTTCCAAGGACATCTCGATGATGTGCTTGACCTGTCGTGGTCGAAGTCTCAGGTTAGTCAATTTTGTTTTCTTTTCCTTTCCAGCAGCATCTAAGCAATTAATGATGATTAAATTTGCTTTCACCCTCCAAACAAGTATTATTTTCTTGTTACTTTCTTCTGTCCACTAATGTGAATGTTTAAATTGTTGAAGTTACTCATATCTAACCCATGGCCATGACAAATGGGGTTAATCTCTTGCTATTGAAGGAAAAAAAATTAGGATGAGAATCAAATATACAGATTTTGTTGCATTGGTCAGGTTGTAAGTTATTCTCATTATTAACTCTTTGAATTTGGTGCAGCTATTTCTTTTGTTTGCTTAGGGAGAGTCATGTATTAATCTTAATCACTGGGGACCTAATTTATAGACAGCAGTAGAGAAATAGAAATAGTTGAGTAACGAAACAAATTTGGTGAATATTGATTGATTACCCCAGAAATATATATATATATATATATATATATATATTGATTGATTGGTTTTGTGTGAAAGGTGTTTCTTGAAGTGGGTAAAACCTTCCTCAATTTTTTTCCACAATTAAAGATGGGAACAAGCATTACCAAAACTAACACTCTGTAAACTTAGTATCTTTTAGGGACTAGTCTTGTGTTAGACCTTTGCAATGACAGTATGTATTTGGCTATGGATTAGGTCTTGTGCTATACTTTAAACATTGTTAAGATTGCTTCTATCTAAGTTGAAGACACAAGGAGCTTTACTTCTCAATTATATATCTTTGTTGGAAATGGAAGAACAGTTTCGAGTAGATTTTCAGAGTGGAACAAAATGATGGATTATAGAAACTCCTTCGTTCTTATCCTGTCTTCCTTCGTTGACTAGCTTAGTCTGACCAGCTAGTCAGACTAAGCTATAATAGGGATTGACATTTGACAATAATCTATAATAGTAAGTATTATATATATATATAAGAAGAAGAGAAGAGGCTTATAGCATGAGATATGGTTGGGGGCTGATTAGGGATAGATTTGTGATAATAATATGTGAAGTAGGGTTTTCTTCTCTCTCTCTTTCTTTCTTTCTTTTTTGTGCTAAGAAAAAGAAGAACAGAAGTAACAGCAGCATAGATTTAACTCAACATGAAATTTCTCATGAAGATATAGATGGGATTTTTCATGAATTGTGGCCCAACTTGAAACTGGTCTATTGAAGATTTAAATGGGATTTTTCATGTATTTTGAGGTGTTCAAACAAAAGGGTTTGATATTTTATTATTGAAGAGAAAAAAATTAAAATGAGAATCAAATATGCAAATTTTTGTTGCATCGGTCAACTTCTAGGTTATTCTCATAATTGACACCTTGAATTTGGTGCTGCTATATCTTTCGTTTGATTCAGAAGAATCATCTATTAATTTTAATCAGTGGGGACTTTATTCATAGACAGTAGTAGAAAAATATAAAGGTGAGGAAATGTTAGGAAACAGTTGTTGTGAACATTGATTAATTTGGTTTTGTGGGGAAGGTGTTTCTTGAAGTGTAAATCTTTCCATTCATTGATTGTCCACAATAAAAGATGGGAACAAGCATTATGAAACTTGCACTCTGTAAACTAATGATTTTTGGGACCTGTCTCGTGTTCGATGTTTTCAATGATGATAGCTATGAATTACCTTTGCAATTCGTATCTAATAAACATGTAGTTAATATACTATCCGGCATCATCTTCACTTTTTCATTTTAAAAAAAGGCACAAATTTAAGGTTTTTTTTGTGAAGATTTCGAGGGTTACTCCCTGTCAGAAAAATAAAGACTAAGAAGCATGGACATGAATACATGAGACAGGCACGACATCGACATGCTGACATGAAACATTAAAAAAAAAACTAAAAAAAAAAAAAAACGGAAATAGGACATAGATATGACAAGGAGACGGTGATAAAATATATGGTGTTTTTTGTGTAGATTTATAGTGTATTAGACAAACATTACTTAACGAAAATTAAGGTGCTGTTTGGTGTTTGGGTGTTGATTGTTTTTTCTATTCTTGATTTCATTGTTGATGAAATTGGTTGTTGTCCCTGATTGGCATTGGGGGATTGAATTGGGCTTTGAATGGGGTTTTAAATTTCTCCATGTGGTGGCTATGTGGTATTCAAGTTGTGTACTTGCATATGTATATATGCAAGTATATATATAGACATATATATATATATATGTGTGTGTGTGTAGGTGTGTGTTTGGGCATTGTGAGTTTTATCTAATATCAAATACAGAGAGATGTATATAGAGAAGAAAAGGGAAGAGGGAAAGAGAAAGAGATACATACCTTGATTAATTTGGTCCAAATATGAATGGCTTGAAGAGTGATTTTATTTGGCTGGTGAGATTATTTTAGTAATTCTGCTGCATACCTTGATTAATTTGGTCCAAATATGAATGGCTTGAAGAGTGATTTTATTTGGCTGTTGAGATTATTTTAGTAATTCTGCCGCATATGAGGGTAGTTTTGGCATTATGATTTTTTTATCGACTTTAACGGACTTGTCGGTCAATTGACGACAGGGGTACCCGAAGTAAAGTAAAAAAAACTGCAGGTTTGGTTGATTGCTATATTTTAAAAACTTTAATACGAAGGTAATTAGGCCAAACCTCAGGGGAGGTCAGCATAATTTACCCTTCTTAATATGGCAAACTTTTTTTATAAATTTTATATAAAAGCCTTTAATTTGATTTTTTTCCTTATAATTATTATTTTTTTCTCCCCCATTCTAGTCTTATTAAATATATAATGTTTATTACTCACATGTCAGCGAGTGTCCAAGAATAATGGAACATGCTTCCATTTTTTGTTAGAAGGGAAAGGATGGGATGAGAGATGGATGAGGCATGCCATCAATCACATCAGTTTGCTTTCATCCAAAAATAGCTGGATGAGGATAGAGGAAAAAAAGATATTTTTGTTGGATATCGAATAAGAGGGGGCTTAGCTCTGTATCCCATCTGCTTGCAGAAATGAATGGATCAGAAGGGGGCTGGGTTCTATTTCCGGGTTGGGCAAGGCCATAAGAGAAGGTTGCCCTCCCAGTGAGGAAGAGGGTAAAAGGGTGCTGTAATCTGTCTCGACCAATTTCCCAAGTTGTTGGAGCGTCTCTCTGTATCTATATGACTATAGTGTTTCTTTTGAGATTCGTAAAAATTATTCTTTTCTTTTATTCTATGTTTAAGGGATGGGGTTTAGTGCTGCTGAACCCAGCCTGCCCAGGTGTCTAAAAGGACATTACTCCCTTTATATTGTAATTGTATTGTATAAAGGGTTCTTTGTTCCGCTGCATCCCCTTTTCGGTCTTTAAGAGAGAATTGTGGTTAGTTCATTGGTTGGGAAGTATTTGAAGACAGATCGATCATCTATATCTTTTAACTTATTTCCTGCGAAGTGATAATGAAATCAAAGGAAAGAATTGGAATGTGGGTGTTGGGGGGAGTGGGGGGTGGGGTGGCGCTTTTTATTTAGGTCTTTGGGTAGCACCCCTACAAGGTGGAAATTCTTGCAGTATCCTTGCAAAAGTTTGTGGGCGAGGGGAGACAATCTTCTCACTCACTTTCCACACCAATGGTGTCATTGATGAAATCTGGCATTCCCCGTATCATCCTGGTGGACCTGGCCTTTCATAAATCTTCTTCTTTTCACGACCCTTAAAGGTGATATTAACTTTATGTAATAACATTGTAAACTGCGGTACAATATGGTCCATTTTGACTATAACATTTTTTATTGACAAAACACATTGGATAATTTTTTTTAAAAAAATAATGTATATAATGTTTCTTTTTTTTTTTTTTTAAGAAAACAATAATCAAACCCATTAGTTAAATTTATTTGTCAAACTATAATAATTATGGCCCGATCAATTTGTCAAAATGAAACAATTATGACCATTAATAATCTGAAGTGGGTTCCTATTTTAGGCTTCACTTCAGGACATCAATGATCTTAATTGTTCACTTTGACAAATAGGCCAAACTAGTCTGCGTGACTCTTTTCTTTTTCTATTTTTCTTGTTAATCCTATATATCAAATGTTATCATAGCATCTATAGTAAAAGTAGGATTGCAACTCGGGCGGCCCCATCCGGACAAACCTTAGCTCACTGCTCAGCCAAAAAGAATTCAGACATGGACAGTGTAAATTGCAGTTCAATTTGGCTCTGGGTTGAAATTAGGAACCCGATTTTATTTCAGGTCGGGATTGGGTTAATGTGTCGGGCAACACAAAACCCACCATGAGGCAGGGATTTATGCATGCATTGAATCATAATCTGTGTGATGTTGTAAGCATGGACAGGTCATGGTTGCTAGGATGCAACGTAAAGAGATATTATCTCATCATTTTTTTGTCTAATTAATATTGGGGTTTGGTTTGGTAGCTTAGGTTAATTGTTCATCATAGATGTGGCGAAGTGTCTGAAAGATGCATCGAGGATTCTATAAGTGAAAGCCGCTTTACACATTAGAGGCACTTGCCTTGTCTCATGTTTAGATCCCCAGTGAAGAACACTTGGAATGTTAGCCATAAATTTGGGAGAATTAGTTGTTTGCACATGCTTCGTGCATTATAAGAAGGCAACTCCTCCCCATGTGGAAGAAGGTCTTGGAAGAGGGAGGAGGAGAGAAGTATAGAAGGGGTTATTTGCTGCTTCTATTTCATGCACTGGTTCTTTGTTCTCTCTTCTTCTCTTTAATTTTCCTTTTGGAACCCTGCTCCACACTCATAAAGCTTCTTTATTGAGTATTTAGTATAGAGGAAACCAGTTATAAAGCTTCTTTATCGAGTAATGTTGGCAATTATGCATTCATTTCTTTCATGCAGTTATGCACGATCATGGCGCCTAGTAATTCTTCATGAAATCATTCTCTTTTAGGCTTGCTACTTCAGTTTCATGGCTTATGCTTCTGTTTTTTTTCTTTTTTAATCCCCATAAAATGTATGTGTGTATTTCCATGTGGCGTGCAATTAGATTATCCTTTTGTAACTGTAGTTGATGTTTCTGAAAACTTCTCTGACCTCTGCTATTTTTAATAATTTCCCTTGAACACTCAGTGTAGGATCATTCTTTAAGTTCAACATCTTAAAAGTAAAAAATTATGGTACCCATAATTGTGGGATAAACGGTTTTGATTATTTGAAGTGATGAATTTTTTAAAAGAAAAGCTAGTTAGGTAAATGGTGCTAATTTCAAACAAATGAATACCTCAGTGGAGGCATAGATATTCTCAGAAAAGTCAAATTAATTTCTTGATATTTGTTTTCCATCGTCTATATAACACTTAATAAAACTGGATATGACATCTGCATCAAGCAATTGAGCTATTTGTTGGATCTGCAGCATCTGCTGGCTAGTGGAATATTATCGAACCAAGATGTCTGATTGTCAGTTTTATTAATTTCAGCATCTACTTTCATCTTCAATGGACAAAACTGTTCGGCTATGGCACTTGTCTAGCAAGTCTTGTTTGAAGATTTTTTCGCACAGTGATTATGGTGAGTACTTATTTTTGTTATACCTTCTATGTATCAATTTCTTGTTTAGCCTGTAACTACAGTGCTCAAGAAGGGCTGCTGAGTTGGAAACTCTTTTCCTGATGATTGGAGGCCCTTTTTGCGCAAATGCATTAAGAACTCAATAAAATTCATTTACTACATGATACTAAACTAATATCATTTACAGTGTTGTATAAGTTTTTTTTTTTTTTTTGATTGCATTTGTGTATTTTAAAGATAAGGAGTATCCAATTTAGCAGTCAAAAAAGCAAATAGTGTCTTTTTATGTCTCTCATTGTTTTATTTGCTAATTACATTTTGCTTGTTTGGATTGTCTTCACACAGTAACTTGCATCCAGTTTAATCCTGTTGATGATAAATACTTCATCAGCGGATCTCTTGATGCTAAGGTTCGCATATGGAGCATTCCTGATCGTCAAGTTGTTGATTGGAATGATCTGCATGAGATGGTCACTGCAGCTTGCTATACACCAGATGGTCAGGTTAGCCATGTTTAATGTTCTGACAATCGATCTTTAATTTTATTTTCTTACCCAGCAAGAAAGGGGTATAATGTCAATTCCATAATTTGTAGAAGTTATATTAGTGGCTCAAGGATTGTTTGTTGATTTTTGAAGGGTGCATTAGTTGGTACATACAAGGGGAGTTGCCGTTCGTACAACACATCTGGTACGAGATGATCTCTGTCTCTCTCTGTCTCTGTCTCTCTCTCTGTCTCTCTCTGTCTCTCTCTCTCTCTCCATTGTCATGTTTCGTGCTCCACTTGCTATTATTTACTTTATTTTCTTTTTCCAGAAAATAAATTGCAGCAAAAATGTCAAATCAATCTGCAAAACAAGAAAAAGAAATCCCATCACAAGAAAATTACTGGTTTCCAGGTAATTAATGGCCTTTACACTGTACGTATGCGAGTATGATTGTAAACATACCGAAGATAACGCATAAAACCTTTGTTTTCGTCATTAGTGTCGCTTATCTTTTTTCCATTTATGGTCAGTGGTCTGTTTACTGTGATCCTTAACAATCTGTGTCCTGTGATTTCTGAGTTGCTGATTATTTTTCACTACACAGTTTGCAGCTGGAAGTTCATCAGAAGTGCTTATCACATCTGCAGATTCACGTATTCGGGTCATTGATGGTGTTGATCTGGTTCACAAGTTTAAAGGTAACAATAATATACAATATATAATTTCTCAATCTATACATCTGATTAAAGGGTACCAAAACTTTTGGTCTTGAAACTTGACCTGTGATCCAATTGATAACTTAACAGAACCACGAAAATTTGACATTGTCTATTCTGTGAGAGCTTTGGTCTTGTTATAGCTATTAGTGGCAATGATTCATGAAAGTGTTAAAATCGATCCTTAGCGGGGGCCACACTCAAGCACTTTGGTATGGCAACAGGATGTTGCTAGAGCGTGCCAGAGTGCTCCTAAGTGATTTATTGACCTATTATGATTTTTGATGTTTGACATGTAGGCACTAGGGTGTAACTAGCACATGCCAGGTTGCTCCTTAGTTATTTTCACTCATCAGTATGGCTTATTGACTCCATTCTGCTTGTTTTGTCAATTGGGGCAACCTGTTTGACCAAAAATTTAGCAATCCTAATGCTATTTGCCCACCCTTGCATCTTATGCTATGGGGTTTCTTTACTCTTCTGCATCTGATTGCTGCCTATCACTTCATGAATTTTTTTAGTAATTTCAAAATTGCATGAGTCATATTTCACAAACCTGCACACACGCACAAAATTTTTTGTAGATCCGAGCTAATTAGTTTGTAATTGAAATTACTATGTGGAAGTTGAAGTCTCTTGTAGATCTGAGCTAACTAGTTTGTAATTGAAATTACTGTGTGGAAGTTGAAGTCAAATTGAGATAATATCGCATCTTGAGAGATCTTGTGGGACTCATTATGGCTTTAAGACTTTATGGTTTTAACTTCTACTCTGCTTCACAACCATGCCTGTAGAGTACATTGTTGGAGCAACCTAAGTATTTGACATTTGACTTACCTTTAAATTTGTTTTCCTCAAACACTTAATACTGGAGGGGGCTTTTAAACTAGAGATGTTTTCTAGGCCATGTTGGAAGGGGCTGTCAAGCTAGAGATGTTCTGCGGGCCATCAGCCAGTACTGGTTGTCAAATACTCAGGTGTTTGGCCATCAGAGATGTTTTGTTGAAGGAAGTATTGTATGTCAAAGTTGGGGCAGATGTTTTACTAAATTTGCTCTTATTTTGTCAAAATTTTAAAAGAATCCACTAGATTTTATTGCACAGGGGTATGTCTAGGTCAAAATTTCCCCCATCAAGATATCTTCATTCTAAGGGGGAAAAAGGGTATTTTCTTTTAAGGTGGTTGTTGAATAACAATTCTGATGTACTATTTGTAGCTATAAGAAATGTATAGTTGTCCCTGGAGATTAGGACAGATAAATTTAGAAACTGTAGCAAGCATACTAGTTTTTGTTGGAACTGTAACATCAAAAGATTAGGCGACTATTGTAGGTTCAGAAGTCCCATAAAGTAGGACTGGAAACATTAGCAAGCATAATGACTTTCTTTTGGTCGTAGGATCACTGATCCAGTAAATAAGCATGATTAGAAACTGTAGCAAGCATACTAGTTTTTGTTGGAACTGTCTGTTAGACTTGTATGTTCTTCCTGGTGAAGATCAAATGCCGTGACAGAGTTCTTTCCTACATTCTTATCAGTCACCACTCATCAGTCATCATTTCTCTCCTGACAAAGAGTTCACCCCATTTCTTGGTTAATATCTCTTCTTATTACAGTATTCCTTAAATTATTTTCAAAGCTTTGAAATATTACACCTTATCAGAATTTTTGCACTGAATTCCCATTTCAATGCCTCAGAGCTCTCAATTTTCGTGTGAAACTGAATTCTGGTCTTTTTGATGAGGTATGGTTGAAAATTTTGATACCTTCAGTTCATGTGTGGAAAAACCAGTGAACAGCTTTTCTACCTGTAAAATTCTAGATCTCTGAATATTACACCAAGGATGTTGGTACAGATGTTCAACTATCTCCTTTTCATTGGACCATAGCACTACTAGATACAGTGTCCTAGCATAGTCGATAGCTTTGATTCCCTATTTGGATTGAAGGGTTTAAAATGGATGGGTTTAGGTTAAACTTTTTAATAATTTTAGCATACTTATTAGTAGGCTTTTTACAATTTTAACAGGGTAAGTATGTTATTTCTATGACAGGGTTTCGCAACGCAAACAGCCAAATCTCAGCCTCCCTCGCAGCAAATGGAAAATATGTGGTCTGTGCCAGTGAGGATTCTTATGTTTATGTTTGGAAACATGAAGGTGATTCCCGACTTAGCAGAAGCAAGGGCATTACAGTTACACGGTCATATGAACATTTTCATTCTAAAGATGTATCAGTGGCCATCCCTTGGCCTGGTATGTGTGATACGTGGGAATTCCAAGGTACTTGTTCTGGAGAACAGAATGGGATTGGGGATCATTTAGATGAGGTCTCTACCGCTAATCATCCTCCCACACCCGTTGAAGAGACAAATGGTAGTGAGAGTTCAACATTGGCATCTGGATGCGCCAGCAGTCCACTTCATGGAACAATTTCTAGTGCGACCAACAGTTACTTCTTTGATAGAATCTCAGCAACATGGCCGGAGGAAAAACTTGTCTTGGCTACCAAGAACCGTAGTCCTCGTACCAGTGTGGACTTCACCAATGGGGTAAACCAAAGTAGGTCAGCCTGGGGTATGGTGATTGTAACTGCTGGGCTTCGAGGAGAAATCAGGACTTTCCAGAATTTTGGATTGCCGGTAAGGATTTAAGGGGACAAAGAAATTCGGAGAACCTCGAGCATGTTGATTAGCACTACTGCACTATACTTCTTTACCCCCCAGGTTGGCATAATTTGTACAGGGATATTTGTTGAGATGTGTAATATTAGCGAGTTTCATTTCTTGCTTTCTTGCACTTGTGCTTGTCGGATTTGGGACAAAGATGTAGAGCCAGTCCGATTAGGCAGAGAAAAAAAAAATAGATTTATCAGGAAAAGAAAAAGAAAAAAATATACACCTTTGAGATTAGAAACCGATGGGATTTCTTCAATCGGGAATTGTAGAGTTATGAGCATTGGCCAAAGTTTATTGAATTTAAACAGAATTCTGTTTTCATCACCTTCATTCTTGCTGTATGAATCCAGGATTTTATGGAGCTAGAAATTGGTTTACCTCTATATCATGCAATGTAATTAATTTCTTTTGTTTGATTCGTAGTGTAACCATTTTTGAAGCCTTCCTCATGATGGATATGAATGGGTTAGGGACTCCATTTTTTTAAAGTCAGATCTCATATAATAGTATTCTTACATTCTATATGCAACGCATCGAACTAATCTCATTTACACTTTATGGAGAAGGTCAGTCTTGTATATTTCAATGGAAAATGATGGTAAATTATAGCAAAAAGAAAGACAAAAGAAAAAGGGTAACTGGGCCGCAATGTTCTGATCCACATCTGGGGTCCACTGCAGTTTGTCATGGGTTCAAAAACAATATCCAGTTGTGCTCTAATGGCCCACACCAAACCCTATCCCTCTCAAATTTTCCGTGCCTTGCACCATACCTATTGAGAGCGGAAACTTGGGGAAACGAGCCCTAAATATCCATTCCAAGGCCCATTCCATCCGAACCGTTACACCTAAAAAATAGTTTGAAAATATCAATACGAAATCCAAACTAAAAAATCTGATTGGTTGCTTGGGATTGAATTGGCAGATACCCCCGCAAGATAATTATCTTATCACAAATGACAGAACCCATTCTTGTTTATTTATATATATATATATATATATATATGCACACTGAAGTTACAAAAGCTTCCTATATCTTTCACTCATCCAAACAATCCTCTTCATATAAGAGGATTCCAAAGAAACCCAACTCAAATTAGTTCATTCGCTTCAACTTTGAGGTGCTTATGGCTCTCCAAGCTGCTTTTCTGCTTCCTTCTGCTTTCTCTGTCCCCAAAGAGGTTTGTTTCCCTTTTTTGTGCTGTTTATGAAGAAGCTAGAACCTTTGTATTGTCATCAAATTACAAATTGGGTTAATTTTTTTGAGGAAATGGTCTGTGTTTGCAGGGAAAGACTAGCTCAGCTTTGAAGGACTCTACTCTCTTTGGAGTGTCACTCTCAGACCATGTCAAATCTGACTTCAGCTCTTCTGCATTAAGATGCAAGGTACATTTATAAACTATAATTTTCCTACCAAACAGGACATTCCATTCCTGGGTACCAAACTCAACATAAGAGGATTTTTTTTTTTTTTTTTTCTATGTTTATACCCCCAAAATTGACTTTAAGCAATTATAAAATGTTGAATTACCATTATTTCTATATGGAATTTGTTGTGTAGAGAACTTATAATTGTATTAGAGCTACATTAATTGTGCCCAATGATTTCTGTTATTGGCCTTACCGGGAAAAAGAAGGATTATCTTGTGAAATAATTTTTGTGGCTGTATAAAGTGGAATTGGTGCATGTGGAAATTATCGAGTAATCGGGTCGAATTACCATTATTCATATATGGAATTTGTTGTGTTGAGAACTTATATTTGTATTAGAGCTACATTAATTGTGCCCAGTGATTCCTGTTATTGGCCTTACTTGAAAAAGAGATTATTCTATGAAAGAATTTTTGGGTCTATAAAAAAAGGTGGAATTTGTGCTTGTGGATATTATCAAGTAATCGGGTTGAATTACCATTATTTGTATATATCGAATTTGTTGTGTTGAGAACTTATATTTGTATTAGAGCTACATTTAGCAATAGTGTGGAATGCTTCAGCATTTCGTTTAGATTGGGGCATGTTAAGGACTCTGCATGAATGGGTTTTGATAACAGAGAGAATCTAACCAAAGAAAGGTACCCATTGGCGGCATAAGAGTTCAGGCAGTGGCTACAACACCAGCTATCAATGTGGCAGCACCAGAAGGGAAGAAAACACTGAGAAAGGGCAGTGTTGTGATCACCGGCGCCTCCTCTGGATTGGGACTGGCCACAGCTAAGGCTCTGGCCGAGACAGGCAAATGGCACGTAATTATGGCCTGCAGGGACTTCCTAAAGGCTGAAAGAGCCGCCAAGTCGGCTGGCATTGCCAAGGAAAATTATACTGTCATGCATCTGGACCTCTCCTCGCTTGACAGTGTCCGGCAGTTTGTAGACAACTTCAGGCGTTCAGGCCGGCCACTTGATGTGCTGGTTTGCAATGCAGCTGTCTATCAACCAACTGCTAAAGAGCCTTCTTTTACAGCTGAAGGTTTTGAGCTTAGTGTCGGGACAAACCATCTTGGACACTTTCTCCTCGCGAGATTGATGCTTGATGACTTGAAGCAATCTGATTGCAAATCAAAGAGACTCATTATTGTCGGCTCAATTACAGGTACTAAGTAAAATTGTTACTAAACAGATTGTGTGACCAAAATTTTAACTATATAAACCAGTTCTATTAGGAAATTTTAATTCATTTTCATTGCATACATCATACCCCTTTTGTGTTTGACCTGCATTGCTTCCAACTCAAATTCATTCTGCAGTTATACAAATTAACACATTCCTGGTTGTTTTCTGAATTCTGTATCATTCTGTTACCATTGTTGTATTAAGTGTTGTGTTGTTTATGTAACATATCCTAGGTAACACGAATACTTTGGCCGGGAATGTGCCCCCAAAGGCCAACCTCGGGGATCTGAGAGGACTTTCTGCAGGACTGAACGGGCTAAACAGCTCTGCCATGATTGATGGTGGTGATTTTGACGGTGCCAAGGCATACAAGGACAGCAAGGTCTGCAACATGCTCACCATGCAAGAGTTTCATCGCCGCTACCATGAGGATACTGGGATCACATTTGCTTCCCTTTACCCTGGTTGCATTGCCACAACAGGCTTGTTCAGGGAGCACATCCCCTTGTTCAGGCTCCTGTTCCCTCCATTCCAGAAGTACATCACCAAGGGATATGTCTCCGAGGAAGAAGCTGGAAAGCGACTTGCACAGGTAAATTAACATTACTACTTTGCATAACTAAGCAAGTAGGAATATATAAACATACATAGGGAGCAGTCATGTTGCAATGTCGGTTTTGTGTGGACTTATTAGTTGGTGTTTTGTGTGTAGGTTGTGAGTGAACCAAGCTTGACAAAGTCAGGTGTGTACTGGAGCTGGAACAATAACTCATCCTCATTCGAGAATCAATTATCTCAAGAAGCCAGTGATGCAGAAAAGGCGCGTAAGGTATGGGAAGTGAGTGAGAAACTTGTTGGTTTGGCTTAGATGGGATCCTTGAGATTCTCCTTGTGAGTGCAGAGTGTGGATTAGGATGCTTTCCTGTTGTATACAGTTTTCACTTTTTTTTAAAATTAGACGACGATAATAAATCACTCACATAGTTTTCCAATGGCAATTCCTAGGAGTACAGAGTTTCTTCATATGAATGATGGCAATTCCAATGGTGATTTTATAAGTACAATCTACTACGATGAATTACTGCATCATCAGCATTACATTCTAGTTTATGCAATCTCTTATGAGAACTAAAATTGAACAGTAGTGGCGAAATTTTCATGAACTTTGGTTCTTGCGTTTGTACACAAGTTCAGTGCTTTTCCACATAATAGTGCAAAGAATAGACTTTGTTTTTTTAATTTTTTTTTGACATTAAGGGAATTTGAAGTTCACACTCTCAGATGGCTCAATAATGTCCAGAAAGTGGCAAATCATTCCTCCAATGCCTTCACACACCGAATTGGGGCAATTATACCTCCATGCATTTCTCCTACTTCCTTGCTCGCTGGTTAGGCACGTTGGAAGTCAACTAATTTGAAAAACTAAAGGCCAGTTTGGTTTATCATTTAGAAAATAGTTCGTAAGAACTACTAAAATAGAAAACTATAAAAAAGACCGTTGTCTGAAAATTGATTTTTTTATTTTATTTTTTTACCTGAGTTTTCAGTAAATTGCTGTCAAAAACTGCTAACCAATCAGATTTTTACACAATTTTTTTATTTTCAGTTTTCAGTAAACTGTTAACTGAACCCAAGCATGCCCTAAAATGCCAAAACTACTCTTCTTTGTCAAATGATCAAATAAATAAGCCTTGCTCACTTTTCAAAATTACAAATGTTAACCTTCATTTGTTGGACCTTTATACCCTCACATATCAGTACTCAAAAACCCACTCATTGCTTGGGTTTACAACCTTACATTCTCACTCTCATCCCAAGTTGAAGGTTTACAGTGGCTGCTGTAAACCTCCACTATTCTCATAATGGGAGGTTTTTAGCATCACAAAACTCAGTAGAACAGAAATTAGTTCTTCAAGAACAAAATTATTTTTTTCCCTTTGACTAAGCAAGAAATTCATTCAAAATAAAGGACAAAGGAAGGCAGGGAGAGAATTGGGATTGAATCCAGCCAGGTAGCATTTTTCCTTTAATACTAATTTGAACCTAACTCACACAATCGTTCTCAATAAGTGTCGCTTTTACGTTCCGAGCACGCTCTGGCTCTCAGGCTCTGTGCACGCTTTTGCTTTGGTTTTCACTACTTGTGACTTAATTTTGCCGCTTCCACGCTCTCCCTCTCGAATTAGTTTTATCTCTGCCTTCGCTTTATGTGACTTAAGTTTGGACTCTTACTCCTAAAGTTTTGGGCTTCGTTTTGGGCTTCGTTTTGGGCTTCGATGTGTTAATTGTTGATCTTTTTATTTTTTCATAGGCCTCATTTCCCAATCGTTTATTTTTTTGTGGGCTACAAGAACCAATCCACTCCTTTTGAATTTCATGTTATGTGTTTCCTTAACGCTATAACTTTTACCATTAATGAGCAAATTATGCGTTAACTGGTAATAATAAAATCTATGAACACGAATTTTAATGTGTTGCCAGAAAAAAAAAAAAAAAAAAAAAAAAAAAAAAAAAAAAAAAACGCGAATTTTAAAATTCATTTTTGTATCAATATGGTTTACATGTTGATCATATGACATGTCAATTTGTTTTTTTATAAAAAAAAATTTTGGTGGTTAGATAAGGCATTTTTTACCCACTCCTCATTTCGAATTTTTATTTTATTATTATTATTATTATTATTATTATTTGTTGTTGTGGTTAGATAGGCATTTTCTCTAGTTAACCTGGCCAACAAGGGGTGTAGAGTGTTCTCACCATTCCTGTGCATGCCTCAGGTATTAGGTAGCACAAACACAGACATGAGTATGATATGATATAGGCACGACGATATGATAAATTTCAAAGAAATAGAATACGGATATAACAAAGATATGCCAAAAAGAATAAATAAATAAAACTATATTATTATTCAAAATTTAATTTAATTTTTTTTCCAATTTCTCAATAATGTCATATACACATTTTAGGGGATTTCACTACTTTTTCCTCTATTATTTTATTTCTCATCTTTTTATTCTTCCTCCTCTTATTCTTTTTGCGTTCTCTCTCATTGGATTGGCTTAAATATTGATATGAGAAGTTAGATCAAAACTTTACCAAAAAAAAGAAAAAAAAAGAAGAAGAAGAAGAAGATATGTTGTTGACCTTTCAAGCTTAATTTTTATTTTTACCTGATTACTCAATACTCCATTAGATTTTAAAATTCGAGTTGAGCCTCATGGTTTTAGAAAATATTAACAAAATAATTGTGACATGTTCTTAGCGTATTCAAGTCGCATCCTTGCCTTGTCAACGTCAAAAAATATTCATTTTAAAATGTAGACACTTCTATCTGACACCTTTTAAGCCGTATCCTCCATGTCTATGCTCAACACATGTCTGACAACGCCACGGCTCCTATGACAAGAATATATATGCTTCCTAGATCAAGCACTTTCATTACACTGGAGAAGATTTTGATCTGCATTGTATCAGGCAAGAGGAATCGGAATTCTTTTTATTAGACATTTGGGTATTTAATTGCACACAAGCTCATCTGAAATCTGATTTATAACATGAGAGGAAAGAATTCCATTTCTCAAAAAATACCAAGATCTACTAGCATGGTCCTATCAGGATGTAAATATATTGTATGAGTGTTAAATTGTTGTTGCATCATCAATGTGTCATGGGAGGTCTTTCTCTAACAGAAACTTGCTTATTTAATCATTGATTTAAGATAATTTTAAATAATTTATTTGAATTTTTATATTTTTTCAAAAAATATTTTAATTGAGTGATTAAATAAAAAGAGATAATTCTTCTTATCATGAGTGGAAGTCTATGATAGCATTATTCTATGTATTATGGACACACATAGTAGTATTTTTGGCAACATCAATATTTATGCACTATTTGATTGGAAGGAAGCAAGAGTATAGAGGGAATATAAAAAGGAAGAAATAAACTTCTTTTGTTTGACAGAGAGGAGGCAAGGAGAATATAGAAAAGAAGATGAATGAGTCATTTTTTCTTCTTCACAAATTTTTATTCCTTTAAATATGAACGTAAGACACAGAAGAAAAAAGACAAAACTATTATAAACGTTTTTAAAAAACTTTTCTTATAATTAACACTCTCTTGTATGTGTTCTATTTATATTATCTCATTCTCTTTTCTTTCATCCAACCAAACAAAAAGAGAGAATGTTATAATCTCTTTATTAGGGATTTGCAGTGGCAAAGTTTAACATGACCTGCCAATAAGACTCGAACACGACACGAGTTAAATGGATTTTGATGGACTTTAAATGGGTTCGGATAATAAATGGGTCGACACGATTAACTTATTTAGTTAATCGTGTCGTGTTTAAGTTGAGGTGGTTCAACTCGTATAACCCGTTTATACCTTTTTAACTATATGTATTACAAACAAATTTATATTTAAGTTTCACAATAACTATGTAAACTTGTGACTTATAACTTACTCTTTTGTAGATTAGTGGCTATTTAGTAATTTAGTTGCATTAAAACTTACATTTTTTTAGTATTTATTATTTGATTGAGTATTATTAATAATTTAAATATTTTTTTATTTTAAAAAATAAGTCATTAAACAATTAGATGTATAACCGGTTTAATAAATTAGTCCGATAAGTGCTAATAAATTTTGACACGTATAGTTAACAAGTCATGTTTGAATTAAACTATTTAATAAAATATTATCAAATTGATATATGTGAACACGAATTAGCACCGTAATCATATAAGTTCAATTTATACTAGTCACAATTTTTAAAAAATAACACCTTCTTCTTTTTTCTTTTTTCTTTTTTCTTTTTATTTTAAGGACAGAGGAGTCAATTTTAGTCGGAGCATTAAAGTGGCATTCAAATGCATTGAATATAGGATCCAGGTCCCCACCCAAGAAAAAGGCGTAGACCCCACTGAAAAGAAAAAGCAGTAAGATAAGCTGCTGCACATCTCACCATTCTTGTCTTTTCTTGTTATCGACTTGATACATGGCCTAGTTGTATTCCATGCCCTTTGGACTTATATATCGCCACGTGAAAAGTACGGCATTTGACAACTCATACACACATATTAATATAATATTAAATAAATAAATACTACGTGTATATCTCTAGTGGTAATAAATTCCCCCAAAAAAAAAAAAAAAAAGAAGGTAATAAATTACTAGAACCAATAATGGCCCCACCCATCATGTGCACTTCTGGACTTTGTTTAATCATTTCCTCCTCTCCACTTTGGACTCTTCTGTAGCTGCAGTCACCGTTACTCCGTATCTCTGCAATTCCACTCAAACCATTTGGATCTACTTCATCAATGTCAATAGTGTATGCGTGTGTATGAGTGTGTGAGACAATATGTGACTGTATTTCTTGTTATTATGAGATGGGTGGCATTTCTCATACATATATATATAATTGGGCTTAGTGTTTGTCTCTGTTTTTTTATGTATGTACTACCAAACTTTCACGTATTATTGGAATTGAATTTTGATCAACGGTAATCACGCATTCTATATAGTACAAGGAAACAAAAACATAATGAGCTTCATGTATGACATGTGAGTCCTTTTCTAAGCTTTTTTACTATGTTATTGGAATTGAATTTTGATCAACGGTAATCATGCATTCTAGATAGTACAAGGAAACAAAAACATAATGAGCTGTATTTGTTTGTTTCATAAACAGAGTCAATGAAATATCTAAGGATTCGATCTCTTTTGTCACATTCAATATTAGCTCCAAACTGTGGCAAAAACAGGACAGAAAAAGAGGCATTAATTCTTCAGCTAATTCAAAGTTCATTGGTGTAATGAGTCCGGACTTCAAATCGAACTAAAAAATTTAAACTATTGAATAGTGTTGTATGTTTGTTCTTATAAATTCAAGACTTTCTCGACCTAAATCCAAATCCGATATAGTAGTCAGTCCATTAACAATAAAATATCTGAATTTTCAAAATTGATTCTCATGCATGTGTTGATGACA